ATATTAATGCACATCTCCATTCCAAAGTTACCTGCCTCCAAGGTATGAACAAACCTCACTGGGCATACATTCTATATTTTATTGGTGATATCATTAAGAACAAAGYGAGAAAATTTTACACTAATCAGTAACAAAGCTATGTATGACTAKRGCCAYTCAMGCTCCACCTAAACATAAAGAAATAGGCTAAAATGTAAGTTAAGAAAGGGCAGAAATCAGAGAAGACTCCATCATAAATCTTAGGATCAGCCGAGGGGTTGAACCTGCCTTTTCCCTCATAGAAGCCCATTGGGTAAGAACTGCACTCTGTGTGCACTGAATGATTATCTCAAGTCACTTTTACTAGCGATTAGAACTCATATGTATATTACTTTTGTCAGGAGAATTAATCCACAAACACCAGAGGTTCATGTCCAAAAAGGAGACAGAGAAGTTCTGTAACTTCATTCATGAAYAAAGGGAGAGGTCATAGACATTCCCTATGGGGTCTCTCCAATTGCTAGAGGGCGCAGCCTCTTTTATCCCAGTTYCCCRGGATTTTTATCCCAATTTATTAACACAGTCTTGGGTAAGTCAATCAGTGGAATTCCTATGGAAATCCTTCCCATTGTTTCTTCTGTCTCGCAGTATCCATCTTATCTTACCCCCAGAGTCACTGTTTGTTTGTAAAGACACTGCTCCAGACTCAAGGCTTACCTTTTAGAACTCCAGCAAAAGTTTCTCACACCAGGTCTACTTTAAAAGCAGGATCCTAAATTTATGAGATGATCAGGTGTCTGTAAGGCCTACGATATATTATCCTACAAATGAAAACTCTCAGTCTTAATACATCAACATGACATAGATATTTAGTCTTCAGTGCTAGATTATACATGCAGAAGTGAGATAAAAAAACTAATTGTTCCTGTTCCTCCACAACATATTTGGCTCTTGGATCCTTTTCTGTTTTCTAAACTCATCAAATGAATTYATGAGTTTGGTTGAATTTATGAGTTTGGTTAAGCAAAAGCTAGCCATCAGTGAAATCAAGTGTGACTAGGTGTAGACATTACATTGCAAAGAAGTCTAGCAAAAGACAGATTGCTCAAAGTTTACAAAAATCTGCTGTGATAACATGGCTAAATGAAATGCACAAGGACGCATGAAGTACAGGGGTACAGGCTATTTTAAGAAATGAGTGAGATTTGGATGAGCCAAGTGACACACAGAAAAAATATGTTGGTTTTGTCAGGCAGTTTAGGGCCTTTCATTAAAGGCTCATCCATAGTGTCGTCTTGTTGGGGGTTAGGATTCTTCCTAATTTTTTATTCTATTTCTTAGGGAATTTTTCTCCCATTTGTTGCCTAAGAGATGATACAAAAATACTTAAGAGGCAAAAGTATGGCTGGGAGGGGGAAGAGAGGGAAAGGTGCAGTTTTCTACCATCTTTTAGCTGGGGTTTTCTGTTGGGAAGTACAGGGATACTGGGAGAATTGGCTGGGATGAGGGGCTGGGCTCAGCACTCTTGCTCACGCTCCCTCTTTCTCTCAGGATGGGAGTGAAGACTATCATGGTTTTGGTGCCAGACTGCTGCTGCCAGGGGGACTCACTGCCACTGCAGTTTTTGTCCTGCTTCTCCTTACCATGGATGAGCCTCTGCWCATGAGAGCAGCCTCTGCTGAACTGGCACCTTCCCAGTGAGGTCGGGGATGCCAACCCCCTCACCAGAGGGAGTGTCTCCCGGCTGCTTGCYCATCTGCCGCTCAGGCCCGCTGTTTCCTCGGGCTTTTTGCTGCACTTTAACTCGACACCCGATGTCCACCCAGATTCCCATGGCTCCCGTCACGGCCGCGGAGTTTCTGCTACACTGCATCTTTCAAGCAATTTCATCACCATAATGTGATATATTTTTCTGGTTTTGTTCCTGAAGTGTGATAAAGAACATTTCATTAAAGCACCTGGCTGACAGTAGTCTAGTGATGTTTAATAAAGGCAAGCACTTAACCAGAGCTTTTAGACTAGGGTACCTTTTTACAAATAAAAAATTCTTCGGTAGTGTTTGAATCACTTCTGAAACATTCACATTTGCATTTTAATGAGCAATTGTGACAAGGGTAGTATTTGCCTAGTTAAAATCCTAGATGAAACTTTTATACAGTAAGAACTAAATAGCCTATGCATGACCTAGGGAAATGTCAGAAAACATGTTCTTTTTGAAAGTTGGTGACTAAGGTAGTTATTCACCAAGGATAGCAAAGTAGGAGAAAGTACAGTTTTGAAGGACAGTGTATTTGYATGTGTTTATTCTTGAAAATATAGAACAAGGAAAGGGCATCATGTGCCAAGACAGCAGCAAATAAAACCTGTAAGGGCWGACAGAGACACTGGTAAAGCATTACTGACATCTAGTGCTACACCACAGCTCATCAGCGTTAAACATGCGCTGCAGAAGCACCTATTTCTTTCTAATCCAAAAAGAGAACTCAAAGTCAGTTTTGATGCAACACTAAAATAAAATTTTAATAGTTAAGATTTTTAAGAACAACAGGTCAGGACTTTTCCTACTTTGGCAAAGACCTGAAGCACCATTTCATAGTCATGCACTACAAAGGACCCACCAGGAYCCACCAGGACCCACCAGTATATGGAAATCTTTGCTTCTGCAAGGTGTTGAATCACCTGTTGACATTGTCTCAGCATAAAAGCTCATGAGGACAGCAGGCAGCAGCTTGCTTATAGCCTTGAACCAATTTTACCTGTGTTTGACTTTCCTCTGTCTACAAGAACACGATAGCCAGGAAGGAGGTAACAAAGCACAGGCAAGCCCTGCCAGGTCAGTGACAGGAACTGAGCTCTCAAGTTACCTAATTGAATTGCATCATTCCCGCTGGCAGCAGGGGGACAGGATTTCACTGTGGGACTTCAAAGCAGATCTGAGCTTAGATGAAGGCAGTGTCCAGCAGGATAAACTTCAACCCATGGTAATATCTGTAATCTAATGAGTTATTCTGGACTTCKTTTACATACTAAGGAGTGTCATGTGGTGCAGGAAGAGGGCTTTGATAACCAAAGCTGCTTGCCATCCAGAAATCACATGGCACTTCACAGGTGAAAAATGTGGCTTTGGAGTCATTTTCCCAGATGGGTTTTAAAAGGGGAAAAAAACCCAACTACGATGAAATAGTAAAGAACTTGGAATAAAACATGGAAAGAGGATAGGGAGTACCTGAGCTCAGTGTTTCATGGCATAGGAAGAAATGGAAGGAGGGAAATGCTCCACCTGGATGACCCAAGCAGTGTCCAGGGAAATGCAYCATCTGCAGGTGAGACCACAGTGAAGACAGGCAAGACCTATTGCAAGGTTGTATGATCCTGCATGAGGCCCCAGCCAGCTCCGCTTTCCTTAAGTATTTTGAAACTATACTTGAGTATTCAAGCTGGAATTTGACTATATTCAATGGAAGACCACTGCTTTAGCATATTTAAATTGCAGCACAATGGTTTTCTGCTTGAACAGAGACCCAAAACAAATTCCCAAGGGTTTTTGATTGGTACTAAACATGATGTATTTTGTGAATTAATCCCTCCTACCTATAAACTTACATGAAGAGGTATTGGGGAAGGTCAAGGATGTATCCTAAATGAGACACCACTATCTGAGTATCAGAGCATTTGAATACAAAAGGTTCATGTTGCCCAAGCCCAAATTGCCAGCATTTTCTTTGTAGCCRTTCCTTTTTCGTTTCTCACTTTTCTTCTGACAAGTAATTTTGCAAAATTAGTACTTGGGCATGGTACYTATTTGACAGCTTCCCATCTGCTAGCCCAATTTATATCCACAGAAACKGCTAAAAAATTCAAGTTTTTATTGCCAGCCACATTGCAGTCTATATAGCTGTGGGAAAATGGGCTGAAGTCAGTTTCTCCTTAYGCTTCATCAACCAAAAAGCGTACACTGACACTGATCCTTCATTGCCAGCAGCAGGGACACCAAGGGCAACACACAGGTGGATTAATTTGCTCTGTTCAAGGTCAAAGTAAGTGTAAAGATGGCCAGAGCAAATGTGCATGTGGCAGGTATTTTACAGTTCTTATTCTAGATTATCCTCAGATCTTATGCTGGCCTAAAACACAAACTACAGTTATGTTTAGAGGAAGTCTACATTTGGAGATGGCAAGAAGGTTGAAAAGTGCAAATAAAAACAGCAGAGCAGCACCAGGACATAAAGGAAATGTCTGACATTAAAGGTGAGCCTCTTCAACGGCTCTCTAGAAACCCCATTGTTAAGGATACTTCCTGTCCAAGCATCCAGGACCATTCTGACACTGTCACACCACCCAAGCTGGACCAAGGCCCCCTCACAGCTGCACTCCACACACACACACTCATGCTGTGATACATTATAGGCTTGGACTCAGGTTTCCTATGGCAGAATCTCAGATGTCTAAATCCTTAAAATAATTTAATCTTGGTGCAATAACTAAATAACTACTTGGTGCAATAACTAAATACAACTCCCACAGGTTCCTTCAAGGAGGGATCCTGAACAAAGGAACCCCTTGGTTTTTAATCCTCTCACAGTCTGAGCACTAAAATCTAGGCTCCTCCACTCCTGCCATGTCCCCGAGTGTCCAGTCCCCTAGCCAGGTCACAGGTGCCCAGGGACCTCATTATACAGAGGGTCAGCAGGTCACAGCCYCTGGCCCCGGGCTCCCCCAGAGCTCAACCTTGAAGCTCCACTGCAACTGCCCTTGGCCCATCTGCACTGAAAAGATTCATTAACACCCATTCCCATCCCATAGCCTTGGTATTTCTTCCACTTCACCCTGAAGAGGCACTTATCTCACTCAAAATGAGCCAAAYTGAGGAAGCCAGGACAGCAGAAAATTAGTAATTTATGTGTCASATAGGTTTACAATGAAACAGAAGGAAGAAAAGATTAATCAGTGTAGTTAATAGTCAAGTAAACTTTTTCTCAACAATCATCTTGTATTAAAAAGAAACYAATTATACTTGCAAGTCACTTGCAGAAAATTTTAATAATTTGCCAAATATACAACTATTAGAATGACCCTAAATATCACTAATAATTAAGTTACAAAAGTTGGTAGATAGCATAGTACAATGTTCTATAAAATAAACATGGGTAATATTAACAATAACCCCTGCGGTCCAAAAATGTCAGAAAATAGCAAATGAAATTACTAACACATACAGATCAGAGGAGACTGAGGGACAGCTTTAGACACTTGGATCAAAGAAACTGAGACCAGACTAGACACATTCATCCATCAAGCATAATGAATGTAGAACTTTAAACTTCAAAAACAATTAACACAGCATCAGGTATAATTTCACATGCTTTCATCTACTGTCCAGTACAGTTCCCAGAGGATTAAAGTGCCTTTGTGCACTRTAGTTTCATTTAGTCAGGTGCAACACACATCATATTTGGAAGTTATTTTCCTTTTTAAAAAGTGACCTATGAATCAAAATAACTACTCGCACCAATGTACACAATCCAAACGAAGGTGTTTTGAAGTACTTTTGTTCTGACTTTGCTACTGAATGTCACGTAACAAATTAAATTCCAAATCCACAGGGCCCATCTCCACAAAACATCAGAGTAAGATATATTTATTGAAACRTGTTTTCTGCTGTACAACACTTAGTTTGCTTATTTTCCCCTTTCAAACACATTTGCCCTTTGGATGACAATTTCCTACTACAGCTTCCACTAACAGATTACTGTGAACATGAGGAACAGGCATGATTTGGCCCATGGCTATGGAGATGAATGCACTCCCCAGAAAACATCCCATTTTAACCCAATGAATACAYATGGCACTTTCTCCCTGAGACACYGGAAGATATGCAGCCTTTGGATCTYACCTGTAGCCATTCTCTGCGCTACAGCATAGACCCAGTATGCTGCTCAGGGCTCCATAGGAACTCTCACTGCTCCCTGCTGCACTACCTCCTTCAACCCAAACCTCCACATGAAATGTAGTGAGGGAAGAAAATCTCTACACAGTTTGACTGCCACTCACCTTGCCCCAGAACATCCACTTCAACTCACAAGTAAAGAACTCTCAGAAAGCCTACAATCCAGTCTCCCATCGAAGTGTGCTCTCCACCAGCGTCCACTCCTGCTCTTTCAGGGAAGAGTGCATTTACATACCATTTGGTATTTTTTATGGTGGTTTTCAGTAGTGGCACTTCAAGAGGAGTTACAGGGCATAAACTTTTTARGAAATACAAATTCCCATCATGATGCCACCTGTGACAAGAGCCAAAATGCAGCACTGGGGAGGGAAGTGCATGTGGAAAAAAAAAAAAAAGTTAAAGTAATTAGGAGGATGAACAACTAATCCTAACTTTAAACAGCAGATGTGGATGAGAGTCTCCACCCTTCCAGTCAGTATGCTTCATATAATGAAGGAAGTAAGTMATTCCAATGATTTTAGGTTCATGATGTGAACACCCCTGTATACCTCACATGGTCAGCACAGGTGACACYATCCCTTCTCTGCTGCCGTTACACCCGAGAAGGCCCATTTTAAACTCTGCACAATCCAGGCTCGGATCAGGAGCTCTCTGGAGGTGAGGTTTTACTGGGGTTCTAGATTTGTAACATGTTAGCATTACTTACAATAYCACATGCACTGAAATATTTAAAGAACATATGCTCTCTGTTAATCAAATCAACGGAAATTAGTGATTTCCTTATTCACTGAGTACMTTTAAAAATTCTCCATGAAACTGTGAGATTATGGAAAAGAACACTCTGTTTAYGCATTACAGTAGAAGGAAACAAAACAGTGTAAGTTTCATCAGAATCACCAACCACAACTAAAGTCTCCAGTTCAGTTCATAAAACAAATTGATTAAAACATTTTAAATATTTCATAGAGGTATAGTAATTTTCAGTGTAATTTATGCAACAAATTTCACCCATATCCAAAAACACATTTGTAAATGCTTTTCTTAAAACGCTGCACAACTCAAGTTCTCCTTAGGTAAGCCTGTGCACAGTTYTCACATCCCCTAGGCACAAAGGTGCCTAGATTCTCAGAGTCCGCAAGTGACTTCCCTTTTGAGAGCCAGCTCTGCTAAACCAAACTCTTATTGCTTAAAATCATCAGTTTCCTCAGCAGCCCTAGCATCCAGCTACACACTAGTCTGGGGCGGACACCCAYGGTATTATGGGACATAAACACCTACAAGCCTTGTAAGCATTCCTGTAAAGATTTCCATGTAATGGTTATCTGTCCCTTAGACTTTGTCCAGAGAACAAAAGGGAYGTTCCTGGAAGGGAGAGAGGGAGATCAGTCACTGAGAGCACATCAGCTCAGTGACCCATTGCCTGCCTCTTAATCTTATAATTAATTTTACATTCTGTTTAATGATTTCTGTGAATACATCTCCAATTGTAACTGAAAACAATCAGCTCAGATACAAGACACTAGACACACCAAGTCTAAGATGTGCAAGAACAATGTAAATATAAGGCCTCCACAGGCTCAAACTCACAATTGGTACTATGCCCAAACACCCCCAAAGCAAGCTTTATTTATACAACTTCCAATGAAAAATACTGTTATTTTTCAAGCTACATTTTAATTTAACAGAAATACATTCATAATAACTACTGGTACAAAAACCATGATAAAATTACTTTTTTTATTCAAAAATATTCTGACAGGTTGACAATATTCCWGGCACATTACAAACACTGCCATAGCCAACAAAACAATCAACACTTAAAGAGCATTAAAGAGCACTGAGACATGTATCTTAAAGCAGAGACAGGAGAGTGTGTGGTACTAAGTGTATACTGTTCATTTTCCAATAACTGACTTGAGGCAAATGCCTGATTTCTCTGGCACAAAATGGATTAAAATCTCCAGAAAAGATGAATTAAAGAGGACAAAAATGATGATGTTAACATGTTTTTGCCCATATTTTCTAAATTCCTTGTAACTTTTATCATACGAGGCCACTAGCAATCTGGACTAGTCTAGTGTTGACTATTCATGGGATAGAACAACAAAATCATAATAGAGAAACCAGTGACAAAGCAAACAACCCCACAAACTCTTTTCACAATATGGCTTAAATTAATTCACAGAGAGTTGGGAATATATTAACTATATGGTGCAAGAGCAATACCAGGGGGAAAAAAAATCCCTCTCTTACTGGTACTTTTTCCCTCAGCCCTCGCTGTAATTCACACATTTTTAACACACTGGTATTACCTCTCCTGCAAGCCACTTTTCCCATACTTCTACAACAYCATGTTACTAAAAGTTTGGTTTCAGTCTTGAATGTGCTGGCCAATATGAGCTCTAAAGTTTAAAGCAAGTAATTCTACACATAGTAATACCCTGTTTCTCCCAATTAACCCCAGTTTTCAAACAGAGCTAAAAATTCAGCTTTATTTAAAACAGCRTATTTGCTTGAAAAAGTATTAATCTCTTTGTTAGGCAGAAAACAGATGTCCAATGAAGAACTTGTCAAGATGTGTACATAGCTGAGGTGCATAGTGCAAAACATTGTACAGAGAGAGCAGCAAGGCCACAGGGTCACAAAGTCCACATGAAAAAGACATATGTTTCCAATGACCAAATCCATTCTAAAACCAAATCCAAATCCATTCCTCCTSGAAATGCTTTAAGCATTAAAATCTTGTTCTAGAGATGGCAAGACTCCTCTGTTCCACTTTTCATACAGCTCACTGTAATATGCATGGCAGCACAGCCACRTACACAGCATACAGAAGAGACACACCAAAAACGCTTTGGATACATCATCCTGATCTCCAGTATTCCATACAAAAGTTGATTTTTTTATTGTGAAAAGGAAGGAAATGGGACAGCTTTCAAATTACACAACTTGCTTGTGTGTCATTAAAGAAACGTGTGGTGGTTGCAGCCCAGGGTGGGAGAGCCTAGCTCCACTGGCACAAGCGGTGGCACAGCTTGATGGCTCCAAGGCTGAATTTCACAGGAGGCTCCTCTGTCTGTATTGCTTGTGGCTCCAGTCAGTACTCCCAAGTAGTAGAAGCATCGAATGCTCGCTGCAAAAATGCAAGTGGCTGACTGTCARCAGAGATCTCAGTACGCTCACTGAAAACACTTGTTTTCCCATTCCATTAGTTTGCTTTTTAAAGCAATGTTGTTGGAGAAGGGCCATAAGAACAATGGAGTGAGGCATTTCCCTCAATCATAGCATCAGGCACTCCATTTACAGATTGACATGATCTCCCAAACTAAATTAGTTCCTGAAACATCTTGCATTTCCATTCTTTCACTCGTTCTTAGGAACGAACAGTTTCTCTAGAAGTTGTGCAGTTTAAGCCTGTTAAGGTATTGCACTCCAGCATTTTCCTAGCACCTCAACACAAATTACGTGGTAGCTCATCTGTGGTGAACATCAGCTACAGACATCCTCCAGGRGGGAAGGGCTGAAAGAACAGCAGTACTGTCCCATGACATGGAAAAGCACTTCRGGATGCACTGGCTTCAGGTGAGACTGCCGAATCAGCATGGGATTTCTCTCCAAGCAGGGTTACTCCAGTTATTCAAATRCAAGTAAACACAAGGGCAGTACTGAGGACATCAATCCTGCACCTTTCAACTTTCAGTCAATTTCCTAAACACCTGTTAATGGAAATRCGACTCAGTGTCAAGGCTAAGTGGGTGAAAAGGTCATCTATGCTAAAGTCATTAGAGGAACTAACATAACCTTTGCTTCTGGTAGTCCTTGGACTTAAGCCAAACACATACACTTCATTCTATTAATTTACCTATCCTGCTTTATCTCAAGTATCTTCATCCTTTCACACTTCCTAATYAACTATCAATATTTTTCCTGAGTGAAATTATAAAAAGTTAAACCCTTCTACCAAAAATACAAAGACAAATAAAATATAGAACAATACAAACCCAGTTATACAGCAATACAAGTGCAGAAATTCTTCATGTTGTTGCTCTTTATCAYTGGCCCCCAATAAAAAACATAGCAAAGAATTTAGTTATCCAAAATATTTTGAAGTACTGTGATTAGATTCTTCAGACCATAAATGTAGCCCTCATCCTTTGTCTTGCTAGGAAACACATGAGCAAAATCAATCATTCGAACTTCGACATTTGCACTTTCCTTGGTCTCTGCTGGCATGTGATAGAAAACTTTTTCCAGTTGGGGTAGAACATTTCCATTCAGGTGCTCCTGCGTAATGCACGAGCTGCTTTTCCATACATTGTCTTGCTCAGAGTTCTTGACTTCTAGCGAGAGCTGASTGTGGTGCCTCTTCGARCAYGCCTTTTTGTGAAGTGCATAAAATTTAGAGAAGCCTTTACTTATAGAGGCTTCAATTTTTCCATTCTCTGTAGAATTTATTACATTAATATTATTATTATACTCCAATACATCTCCACCTGATAACACGCCTTTGGGCACTCTTCTCTTCTCTGCCAAGGTGACGTCACTCAACCGCATAGTTGTCGCTTGACACAAACCTTCATAGACAAACARCAATGAGCTTGCATAGAAGTTGAGTTGTGTCTGGCTCTCAAACCACTCCAAAATCTTTTCAACCTTCTGAATGCTGGCAGCTACCACATCTTTTCTCAAGCAGTACCCACTGTGGAAAAACTTTGAGATGCCTGCATGAAATACACATATTTTGAGATTATTTTCACTTCTGCAAGGAAAACAAACAATTTCCATTTCATTTGGGATGAGAATAGTTCTTATTTGAAGGAACAGACAGCATTCAGGTAGTTTCTGTTCTGGCAATTATTAACTAAAGTTCACCCAAAGTGAACCAAAGAACTCTGAGACCTTCGGTCATGTCACCTGCTGTGTAATACTACAGGCTTGGACTTGGGTTATAAGTAAAAACAAATGTATCAAGCACACAGTAAATGACACCTTTACTCCTGCTCCCAGGTCAGTTTAGTAGGTGTCTGGACAGTTTTGGGCAGGGACCCATTAAACTCTCCACGCACAAACAGGCTCAAGCAGCTTGTTAGGATAAGTGTGTTCATGGGTCTACCTTCTGTCCCTTGCTGGGGGACAGATGAACAGGTATCAACTAATAACTAGCTTACACCAATCATCACCAAACAGCCCCAYGATGGTAGCATTTTTATTCATTGTTAATGTAGAGCAACATGTGCATTGACATCAACCGAGAAAGTCCTTTGAATTGAAAGATGCACTTGTAGCTTTCTAACAGAACAGACACTTAGATATTCACAGAAGACAACTAGAGATTAAAAAAAGTATTTATAATGAAAACATGCAATGCTTTTAAAAGATTACTATTTCATTATAGTTTCAAAACTACAAAGAAGTTGAATTCTAGAATTCTCTCCCCCTTACTAGTAGTAAAGGAGACGTGAGGCAGAAATTCCTATAGTCTGTACTACTGTTACAGCCAGCTGCACACTTAATTTCAGATTGACAGGCAGCTCAAATACTACCAGGAACAGTCACAGACCCATCTGCCATGGGGAACAAAAAAGAAGTTTTAAAATGGGAACACCCACACTACTTTTTCCATACAGTTCCATAAATAAGCACATAAATTAAAAAATCCAAGAGCACCGAGTTCTGACACCCCAATTCCCTTACCGTCCTTTACTGTTTCCTTGGTCAAGCTCCTTCCATAGTGCTGGTTTTGCGTCTCGTAGCTGTCCGAAGACAYGTGGTACACCTGCAAGAGGAAAGGATGGGGGTCCCTATTTATTTTGAAATACATCAGCATTTCTGCAGAGCAAGAGACACTTCGCACACAGGCCACGAAACCCTGGATACCATTTAGCCCTCCCAGTTTTTTAAGTTTCTTGCAGTGGCCTGTAGTGCTCCCCAAAACCTTCCCTTCAGCTCTCCAGCTCCAAGCTTCAGCTTTCCTGTGCTAGAGACATCCTGACAGTGGAAATAAGCAATGCACCCATTACAGGGAACTGTTTTATATGACCTTGCAAATCACAGCTGAGACCTGAAATTATCACACTCCTACCTGTGTTACTGCAGATRTTAAATCAGTAAGAAAACAAAGCAAAAATTTCAATGCAATTATTTTGAATTGTTAAAACTATAAAACTATTTAGCACAAGAGCAAAATAGTAAGAACTACTGTGTGTGACCACCAAGGCCCAGCTCTGTAAGACCCATCTGCAGTTGTCAGCACAAATGAGGCTGCACTAAATGAGTGGCAGCAGTCAAGCAAAAGCTGGTTCCAGCATCAACAGCAGTACATCAGCTCTTGACTGAAAGGAGGCAACTCACGTGGGTACAGTTTTGTCCATATCGGGAATTGTATAAGCTTAAGAACTTAATTCAAAACTGCTTCACATATAGACATATTTTCTCTCTCACTGAAATTATTTCCATAGCAGAAATGTGCAAGGCAGCAAGGCCCAAATACAATTTGTTTATGAGAGTATAGACAATTTTTATTTGCAGAAATAATGGTGTTACCAAGAACAAGAGGAGAAGAGGCTGTCTGGAAGGAACTCAGTGCTTGGCACTTGTTCAGACCACCCAGCCCTGTGGCATCCACCCCAGCTACAGCCCTGCCCTCCTTCAACCACTGTAAACAGAGATAATCCTGCTGAAAGAGACTCAGAGTGCACTGTTGAGGGGCCTACTCCTCAGACATCCTCTGGGATCTTATTCTTGCTGAAGCCACTAAATAAGTTGTTTCACGACAGTTAAACAGCAGCACATAAAAAGGAACGGTACAGAAGCAATAAATAAAGAAAAGAGTGTTCCCTGTTTTCATTACAGCCCATCACCCTGAAACATCTCTCCCCCATCCAAACCACAATAAATACAGTATGATTACACAGATTCCCACCTCCTGTTTTGCAAAGCAGCTGGGAAGAACAGTCTCAGATAGCTCTCATTTTGACAAAAAGATAGAAGTAATTAAATTCAGTCCTCAAGGAACTTAAATCATAGCATGTGGAAACAGATTTTAAGTCACCAACCATGACCTGAAGGGGCAGTAAATAGTTCTCTTTATTCTAGAAAAATAAGAGCTGTAAGTCTAAATGTTTAAACTCATTCAGTAGCAGAGACACTTCACACTGTTATGATAGTTGGAGAAAYTGAGGCCTCCATGTCTGTGAAATGCAGAAGGCCATAGCAGAGATGAATTATTCTAAAACTGCATCTGACAAGTGTGATTTTGGTTCCTCAGAATTTTTCTCCACTTAGTTTTTGCCATTTTTTTTCCAAAGCACATTAAAGAAGTTCAGCATATAACACAGAAACATAAAGATTACTCAGTAAATGGATTTCAGGTAGCAAAGTAATCTTCAAAAACATAGCAAAAGTTTCAAAACTTCTTTAAGAGCTGCAAGTCAAAAGCAGTTMAATAAAGAATAATATTGCTTAGAAAGAGAATCAAGAGTCTGAGACCATGTCTAAGTTTTCACTAGCTGTGCCTTCATTTTAATGATATGAAGTGTTCTCATGTGATCGGTCTGGGAGCAGCTTTCTGCAGACATCAGCACTGCAGCATGTTTACCACAACCTTATCTCTTCTTGTAGGAGCTACAGTTTTTGTGATATGGGCACTAGCTCATGATTAGGATCTGCAAGCTCATTTTGTTTTCCAAAGAAATGCTGGAGCAGCATATCTGCCCCTGTGCTTCTGAAGTAGGTTTCCCATGAAGCCACTCCACCTCTTCTCATTTATTGAACAAAACCATTCCCCAAATGTCTTTCTATAGAGCTTACAAACACCAWGACAAATGTGMGTGCTGCATTAACAGCACATGTTTAATTGTACAAAACAGTCGGTGACCAAGCACCAAGTCCCAGACYCACAGCATGAGTGCAATGTATGTGTTCAATTGCCTTGTGCACTCAGAAAGCACTCAGTCATCAAGAGACTTYGCTGCAGCCAGTGGCATTAAAGGACAACAGATCTGAATAATCACAAAAGCCATCTCTTAACCACCTCGARGCTCTGCACAACTACAGGAAGAGACTAATTGAAACATTCCTGGGAAAGCTCATTTTAATACAGATACATTACACTCCATTCTGAAAGCAAGGATGCTGAAAGCCAAGCCTCAAACAAAAAAAATCTCTCACCAGCCCTTGCTCCACCCTCATGCACCTGAACACAGCGATGGATGTGCTGGAGGAGCAGGAGGTTAAATCCATTTCCTATCTGACAAACCTCTTGCTCCATGTGCTTTTGTTCACATGGTCACCACCCTAACCTGCTACTAWCCCTTCCCAAAATGACATTTTGCCTTTGAACCAAGCTTTTCCTGTATCCCTGTTGTTGCAGCTGTCTGTACTAGCCCATCTGTCAGATCAGTGACAGGTCAAGTAAGTCAGATCTGTAACCTTAACAGCAGGCAAGAAATTATTACACAGGAAAATCTCATTTCTTGTCCACCTGCCACAAATTATGCGTTTGCTCTGTATTCACTGGGAGGTTTCCTGCAGAGTGCAAGACAAAGAAAACTCTATAAGCTGCAAAACACCACCTTCAAGAAATCTCCTCCTTCATCAGTGATTTTTGTATATTTTTACTACGCAAGACCAGAGCTGTTCTGGCTGACAATGCAAAGGCTTCTCCTTGTGCCTACAAGCAGCTCCCACTTAGCTTCCTGCACAAATGGCTCTGGGGTGCAGTGTTCAATTAGCAGTAGTAGTGACTCCGTGTGGACAGTACCTCAAAAAATCCAGACTATTAACTGTTGAGGGAAATTATCTTTGGATGTTCTCAATTAGCACTTGCCTTTTATTTGCCTGTGAGGTGTTCAGTCATCAGTATGTTCATACCAAAACACCTTGTTGTACATGTTTTCTGTTACAGTTCCTTCTTTTTTGGACCTTTTTTTCAGTTACAATTCCTTCATCTGATGTTCCCGGACTGATGGAAACCTTGAGCTAAAATAAGAAGTTAAGCACAACCCTTTCAAGGTCTCAATAGAGATATACCTAGTTTGGCAACCTCRCATCTTCAGCTTTAGGACATTAAACTGAAGGCAAACAGGTATAAAATGTTATGTTAATTATGGTAATGCAGTACCAACAACCATGGTAAGGCAGAAGAATGTAGACACTGTTCAAATACTTCCTGTGTCAACTCCCTGGCTTCCGGAACGTACAATGTAAATACATATTAAGAACTGCCTGGGGGAGATATTGCTGGCACAAATAAAAATCTCTGCTCAGTAACTTGCAGAGCTGTTTCACATCTACAAAAAAAATTTACTAATCCACATCACTGAAGCTGGGAAAAACAACCGCAACCTATTTTGAGAAGGCTTGTAGAGCACTACCGAGCACCTGGAGAGTAAGGGTCGGCTCAGCAACATGCACAATATGGAGCTGCGTTGCACTGACATTCCCATGGTGATTGGGAAGCAGCTTCCTGTGAAGCTTCCAATGCCCATCCCTGCTCCCTTGCATAGCCCGCAAGGGCAGTTTGGGATCTGCTGTCCTAAGCAAGGACATGGAGATTTAGAGATACATGCTCTGATGCTGAGGCATCCAGATTTCACTGTGCCAAGGGCTGAGCTTCCCACCCCTCAGATTTTTTCTGTAAATGCACCTAACAGTTACATACAGGTAGGGCTGAGTGAGTGTTTAGACATTACACAGAGCTTTCTGATTACGGCATTACACAGAGCTTTCTGATTACGGCAAGGCACCTCTGCACTCCTGGCAGCCTCTGAGGATCAATACCCAACTACCACCAAAGCTGGAGCCAAACCGACAATGGGGGTAGGCAGGTGGCACCCCAACTCACCTAGGCACATCCAACACCAGTATTCATCCCCCAGCTCTGCAGGGACCCTCCCAGTACCAGGCCAGGACCCACACCCATGCCTGGGCACCTTCTGCCAGTGACCCACAATTGTCCCAATAAAAATACGTTTCCTTCATGCCCAAGCAACCCAGGTTTCTCTGCAGGCCCTTCATCCTGCCACAGTGCAAGACTTAAACAGAGTTTCAATAAGACATTTTTTTTCTTTTTCAAAAAGAAAGTAAAGCAAGGATTTGAAGAAAAATTAACAAAGGGAAACTTTTTGTWAAAAAAACATTTTCTCTTATTTGACATCTCTGCTATATAGCAATTCTGTCACATTACCACTGCTGTGGAGAGCACGCCCAGTTATCCAAATCCATGTACCTAAATAACTTTACTTAATTTTGACTCTTTTAAAACTTATTTTATTGTTGCTAGACCATAGGTGATGAAAGTACACACATCCCTGCTTGCTGCTGCCTTGAAAACTCAGCACAGGAAGGATGCATCCCTGCTCCCTCATTTCTAAGACTATACTTAGATATTATTCTGCCYATTTTGCTTCTTTGTTCCTCTGGACTGCTTTGACTGAGTGCTTCATATCACTAAGTGTATCCCYAAATACTCTGACACTCAATATGCAGTCAAGTCATCACATAAATAAGTTGTAGAATGAAATTATCCAGGGAAATTGAAATTTATCCAGTGAAAAAGCAGACTATTAATCTCCTACATAAAAAAAACCCACTACAATTATATAATGAACCATCTTAAAAATAGCTTAATACATTAATTTGGGACTCCCAGAATTTCCACGAAGCATCTCATTAGAATAAGTTCCTTTTATAGTTCCTTTTTATGCAATAAAAAACCACCTGCTCCAGCTTTGAAGATTCTTTTTTTCAGGGTTTTCAGTTGGTTTCTTTAGGTTTGGGTTTTATTTATTAATTTCTTTATTTTTAATCTCATGGAATTTGTTTGTTTTCTTTTAGGCTTTCTTTTGCTTTGTCTTTCTGTTTTTTTAAACATCAAAGCTTGAATTCGACTTAAAAATGTAAAAACCGCAATTCTGGTAAATTTTTACTGTGGATGAATCTGAACACTAGATGCAGGATTTAATAAGTTTATGACTTCCTTCCTAAATCTTGTTATTAACAGAGCAGAGCTTGTGAAAATTACCACAATACTAGAAAGACTTCATAAAAAAACTCATAGTCAGCTACAGTCAATTTGAAAATATCAAACAGAATCATGTAGATCAGAAAATTCACTTGTAAAACCAATTTTGATTATTAAACATTACTGCCTGTATATTCATAGGCACAAACAACAGAAGTAGATGCATTATACTGGTRAAATTACATAATCACCAGTTCGTGCTCTAAAAAAGCATTTCAGAAATATTTTGAAGCAAGTGAGATTGCAACTGATGTTCTGGGGAAAAAAATGAAACGTGCAGAATCTGGGAACYGTGGATTCCAAAATGTGAATCTGAAATGAGAGCACAGCCCATACATTCTGCTTGTATTCAACAGCATGCAGAATGGTCTGTATTTAACAATGCCTGTGCTGCAAAGAGATTTCTTATCTGTATGTTTGCTACTGAAACCATATTACAATTTGTATTTTCACTATTGCAACAATACCTGAGACTTTCAGCTTCTGTATAAACTCTAGCTACTTTCATAATAAATCATGTCCAGTCTCATAGAATCCCAGAATGGTCTGGTTTCAAAGGGACCTTAAAGACATCCCAATCCCAATCGCCTACCATGGGCAGGGACATGTTTCACTAAACTAGACTGCTCCATGTCCAACCTGGCCTTGAACACTTCCAGGGATGGGCATCTGTTAAAGAAAGGAACTTCTCCACTAAACACAGAATTGTGTTTCTAAACAATGTTATTTTAATAACTGTGTTTTCTAAATATATTTCCAGGCATTTTTTTCTGTTTATTCAGTGTGTCAAGCTAAATACAGGTCAAATGCCGTGTACACAAGTTAATACTGTGCCAGACAGGAGACTCCCATTTTTAAGGATGTACCACACACATTTTATATATGAACAGATGACTGTTTTATATCTGAACAGATGACTGCTTGTTTGCCAATACATAAGAAAAACCTATTTCAATAGCCTTTTGGGTAAAAATACAGGGTAAACAGATTTTAGGGTAAACCCCTCACCTTATAACACTTCTTTGCTTGTACCTCTTCATGACAACTTACATGATGGGTACTTAAAAAAAAGCATAGCTACATTCTTTGTTTTTCCCTGCCCTCTCCTTCTTGCTCATGTAAAAATTTACCATGCAAGCCCACCTCCCTTGTAAAAATAACACTGAATGGAGAAATTAAAACTAAACCCCTGTACTTCCTTGTTACATCATGTTTTGACCAGCAAACAGGAACCACTTTCATCCAGCACATGAGCTGTTCTGGGCAGTACATATCCATGTAGGAGTGTTTTATAGTATAGCCAGAATGCTGCAAAAATAAAGCAAGAAGACAGGCCAAGAACACCCYGTAATCAAGAGGCAGAGAACATGCCTTGTGAATTCCAACTTTGCCTAGTGCTGTGTGAGGGCAGGAGGAATCTTTTTCAGTTCTCTTCGGAAAATAACTTCAACGCGCAATTTGGTGCCAAAGGCAAAAACCCAAATCCGAACTAGTTAAAACACTGGAAATAAAACTGCACTACTTGAGAGAATCATCATTATACATCCAGTCTGAAGCAGGAGACTGAAAAAAATTCTGCAACAGGACAAAGACACAAATAACTGACTTTATAAACAATAGTCACAAGTATACCATGGAAGCAATCAATAATTCCTTTTKCACTGTCATGAAACAAAGGATGTGAAGTACATTGTTTAACACATGAGATAAGAAAGGTTATGTAATTACATCAACCAAATCCAAAGCTATAATCTCTAACCTTCCTTTTCCATCCAAACTGTTTGGCTGTTTTTTGACCTAACTCCCACATTCCTGCTGATAGGCTTACACAGTTACTTCTTACGACCACTATAATTTATATAGCAGGTTATTTCAAGGTAGAGTTAAGGGCTGGGACCCAGACAGTTCTGCACAAAATATTACAGAGACATTAGAATTATCTTGAATAATGGTGCAATCCAGCTGCTGTTGCTATTGAACAGCAAACAAAAGTCTTTTTTGTTGCTATTGGACAGCAAACAAAAGTCTTTTTTGTTGCTATTGAGCTGCTCACCAAAGTCTTCAGCCATTTATGCATGTTGATGCAAAGCTCAAGGACCCCTGGCTTTGTGTGTGAGAAGAAAAACGAAAATCTCCCATCAAAAAGAAAACTATTCCTCTACCTATCATTGCAGAAAAAAAGTACTTTGGATTTGCATCAGAAACTCAGTGGCATCAACGTATTTCTCTTACTGAGCCACAAATGTTCTGTACAGCTTTTCTCTACACTGAAGTTTTAAAGTAGCCAATACACACATACTGAATCTTAGTATTTCTAAGAGTAATAAGAGTTRATCGGGACATCTGCAGGGCCTCATCCATGCCCATCTAACCTTCCTCTGACAGCTGCTCCTTGAGTTATGCAAACACCAAAGGAAGTTTCCTTCTAATGGAAAGCTGTCTAAAATGTAGAACATAAGCAGCAGATATATGGCTMTATGCATCCCCTCTGAGAGCTGATTTTCTCTTCCCTAAATAGAAAAATTATGTAAAATTTTTTTCTTTTTAAAAACAGAGTATCAAGATGAAAAATACCGAGGATACAGCTCATTATTAAATTATTTGAAAGACTGGTTCAGTATGCAAATCTCTAATATCTCTAATATAAGCCTAAAGAAAAAAAAACCACAAAAACTCGATTACTAATACTAAATATCTGCTGTGGTGGTGAAGAATTAATAGCAACTATATTCAGTTTTAAATACCCAGGCCGTCTCTTGTATACATATAGAGTGCCCAGGCTGCAAATAGCTTGCCCTAAGGGAGACAGCCAAATTTGTCATAAAGGAGAGCAGTGTTTTGGAACAGATTTCACACGACAGTTGATACCACCACTACCAAGAYATTCAGGTAACACTTTATTGATGTAAAACTCAAGAGGATAGCTTGCTACGAAAACCAGCTGCTATGTACCTGGTGGTACAAGGGGCCTCAGCATAAACTGTAAGCAAAGACAAAACAAGTTCTTACCCGCATTCCAAGAACCAAAAAGCCAATCTCTTCCATAAGCGGGTACTTGCTGACCTGCTGCTGTATCTTCTCTGCTGAAGCATACGGATCGTAACTTTTCTGACCTATTTTTACATCCATTATGCAAGGCTTGTTAAACTTACGGGTCACATCTTCCAGTTTTAGATATGCATCTGTCAAAAAAMCAAAACTTTTTATTAACAATGGGTCAAAGCAAAATAATTACATAGCTTCTGCTGAGCACCTGTGAAGGAATGTGAATAGTTTAAGGCTTAACATCAACATGATTTCTTATAATAGTCAAATTTGGTCCRAATGCAGACTAAATGATGGTCACTGACACCCACAAATTCTATTGGTATGGAAATCTAAATGCTTTCCTGTCTAGAAAATTGTAYACAATTAGTATGTGTTAACCTAGCATTCAAATTCAAATTATTGCCCAAATGAAATCRCTGTGAAATCACTGAGCAGCTTTTTATTAAGTCCTTAACATATCACAAAGAGCATTACTAAGAACATACAAATGCAGGTTTTTCAACTGTGTGGCTGGTTTTGCAACACAGGTGATCTCTTGTGTCATTTTAAAATTTAACATAGCCTTCAGGGGCTGAAGTGCACCTCATTTTGCTTCTTTTATCTCGCTCCCATCTGCACTTATTTCTCATGGCACTCCTTTTGGAGAAAATGCTCTTCAAATCCTAGGCTACCTTTCATCCATTTCCAACACTCCCTTTGAGAGGGTGGCTGGACCAAGAAACCCYGAAAGCACTTGGAGTGCCTGAAGATTTAACGGAGTATCTAAAACCTGAKGAAAATTGTTTATGCATTTCTCCAGGACAACATGATCATTACCAGCATAACCCTCGCACTGACTATCAGAACACCAACAAGAAATGAACTTCAGTACCTGCCYGGCTCTCAGACAACTCTGCTCAGGAGACACCTGCATCCACCTCCAGCCCTTGCCAGGACACAGCATAACCAAGGGAACACACATCCTCAACACTGGGCTCATTTTTCCCATGTGCTTTGCAAATTCACCTGTCACCAGGCACAAACTTTAAGTCTGGTTTTCTTTACAGTACAGCCGATTCCATAAATGCATTTCTTTTACTTTAATATAAAAGAACATTGTRTTATGCCTCATTCCCGCAGTGTGATCTAAAATGGGATTGTGAGAGAAAGCAAMATCAGTTCAAGTTTAAAAAGAGGCACAAAGTGCCTTATTTGAAAGCTGTACAGACAGGTAACAAAACCAGTCCAAGTGAAGATAAAGTGAAAAAGCAGTATTTMATTTACACTTATTATGTAGAAACACTTAAAGAAATTAAATGGACTTTTTAARTCTTACTGAGAACTTCTATTTTACACTGTCATGACCAAATGTCCTAATTTCTAACAAAGCATGGATGTGTCAATCTAAACAGGTGTGATTTAATCCTTAGATGCCTGCTTTCTGTATGACTGAAACTAGGCATCTTGTTAATGTAAAATCATTTTCAGGAAAACAAATACACTAATTAAAAAAGAACAACCAACTCTTCTACTAACTCACTTCATCAGCTTTCAATGTCTTTTGGGCTACAGGAGAGATCTAGCTACAGCAAAAATAGTTTTCTTATAGGTACCTCATCAACTAACTACCACTGCTGGAATACAACCAAGCACAGATAACTTGTAATTAACTTTGAGGAGTCCTAGGTAGCAAACATACTTGTTATTTGCTCACTGAATAGCTCCAAAGGAGAAGCAGGACAAATATGCTCCCTACCAGGCAGTGTAATCTGTATCACCGGAACTGCAGGTGCTACTTTTACACTCGAAGGCCTAATTCAGTCAGACACTAGAACAGCTTTTGCAGGACATTGGGAAACCTCTGCCAATACCTGGGGAGTCCATAAAATCTGTTAGCTATCTCTTATTAAAACAAAAAYTGTAAAAACCTTAGAGTCATCCTTCTAATTATTTTTGAATCTTACAGAAATCACTGCAATCAAAACGTTTGTGTCATCACTCTAAAACAATGCAGAAAATAACTAAATAAAGTTCAATGTTTTCAGTAAATGTTTTCAGCTCTCAGAAGAAAAGAGTCACAGGTTTGCATGGGAGGTGAGGAAAGACAGTAAATGCAAAAACATCTCAGAAAAAGGAAGCAGTCYTTCTCCACCAACCCCAAAATGCTTTGGAGCACTCCAGAACCAAATTGTGGGAAATACAAAATTATATTAATTGTTTAGATGCAATGCTTTCATCAACCCTAAAATAAAGCATAAARGTACATAYAAATATATATATATTTATATATATATATAAAGTAGCATAAAATATCTATTTCCATAGGTACCCATGSGTATCTGCTGTCTTCTACAGTCCTGGCCTAATTCCTGCTTTTTAACCATACCGCACCAACATTCAGCATCTCACAAATATTTGAAAGTCCTAAATATGTGTCACTTCTTTGTTCCATGTCCTTTTCAGATTTGTTAAACTAGACTATCTTACTGACCTCCTAAAAATGTAACAATTTTTTTTTTAATTAAGCATTAAATTACCTTTATAGATAATACCAACCCTGGGAAATACTAATTATTTGGCAAAGCCTGTGAATTATCCAGAAATTTCTCATCTCTCTCACACTTTTTGRAATTAAATCTTTCCTGCTGGGTAACTGCTAGCTCAGAATGAGGACTGTTACATCTGTTCAGTGCATTTCCCTGCTCTCACAAAGCTGTCTGGCCTTGTAGGCAGAGCAATGTCATCCAGATAAAGCACCATACCCAGTTACTTTTTCTCATTATTGCTTCAAACAAACAGATCAAATTTTTACACTCCATATTTCCTGGCACTGTTTGGTGCTTATTTGCACTGTATTCAATAGTCTAATGGAATGCTCCCAAACACACAATACGGTGCATACGTAACTTTTGCTTCCAGCATGACAAGCACTATGACATTTCCAAGCACTAAGACTATGGCAAACGAAGTTAAGCCTCAGATAGGTACCAACTGCTCTCCATTGTCAAGCCAGGTCTCTGATGCTCTGACCACGTGTCCTTCTCAAGGGCATCAGTGAGTCTGCACTTCAGTCCAGCTAACCAGGGCACTCTTCTCCCTTCTCCTTGCTTGGTTAAACAAAAAACTGAAGATTTTTCAAGTCTTTCTAAATTATTATGTAGTGCCCTGCTAATCCAGTGTGCTTCAGGAAATGATGCATTTGCCATCTAAAACTAGATTAAATTAAAAACCTCCACAGAGAGAGGAATTCATAATGATTTTTACATTATAACTTGCTTTGCTAGACAGCCTTGACCATCCATTTCAAGGATTTAAATAAATCATTCATCAGAGACTTGTCCTGCCCTTTTCTATTTACCGTGGCACGAAGATTTGGCTTGATTATTTACATACTTTTTACAGTCCCAAAGGAGATAAACCAAAAGACCACCAAAATTCAGCAGTTATCCATGGCATGAACTACTGCAGACTTCAGCACAGACATACCAGTGCATTCAATCCTCACTGGAGACAGAAGTGACAAAATCAATGGAGGCACCTGATTTGTTTTCATAACTTAGGAGACATCTCTCAAAACAGGAATAAGCAGGGAAGAGTCTCGATTGCCCACAGCAACAAAGGAAGAAGAGAAAGGTTTGAAGCTGGGTTGTATGTATCTCCTGTTTCCAGGTTAGGCAACAAAATTAGAGAACAGCATGAAATGAGCAGCAGTAAAGTTACTTTAAAAAAAAAAGTATGGGCAACAGCTAGGCAGCCAAACCCAGAAAACTCAGCAGCAGATGGTTTCTGCATCTTTGTAACAACTTTTCCACTGCTCTGTAAATAAACCCCWAATGCCCACTATACCAGTGAAGCTAAAGTTCAAATCCAACTCGTTTAGATGAGCTTAGAGAGATAGCATCTCACCCACCTCTACCTCCATTTCCTTTGCAGTAGAGCACTGGGTATATGATTTCAGCCCAACAGGAGTTATTCTGCAAATTAAATTTATCGTGGAAGTCCATCTTTTCTGTCACACTTCCTACATTCTCATTTAAACTTCATACATTTCACCCCTTGTAGCTAGCAATTTCATCCACTTACCTACTTTTTCAGTATAGAAGACTGATGCTTCTCCCTAAATATTTCCRTAAGGAAATAAGTTATGCTCTTCATATTACCAACTACAGTTCCTGCTTACYTGTCACAGAAACTCTGAGACAGTCACAAACCAAGTTAAGAGCGGTCTMAACTAACTTTTGCTTTTTTAGAAGTCACCTATGACCAATTTAGTAACAACAGGAAATGACTGAGTTCACTATTCACAGCAGTTGTACGGGGCTGTGATCCCAGAGCCTGCAGAGCAGGGATTGTCAAGGGAAAGGTCAAGTTTCAAAAGTCAAGACTGGAATAAACCTACAAATATATCTTCAATCTATGTTTAAGAGCAAGACACACATCCATTCTGCTAAGCAACTCTAATTTTTAGCAAGACTACACAAAGCTCATTAATACTACAGACAACAGAGATGGCAGTGCAATGTTTTGGTTGAACAGCCACCACAGCTTTCTATGAAGAGGACTCATGATAGTGCACAGCCTTTTCAGGAAGAAAAACAAACAAAATCAAAAGTTTCTCTTCCTTCAAACAGTTATTCCTGCTGCCTATGCCTGAATGACTGGTGGAGACCTTTCAAAATCCAGCCTCGTGGTGCACAGTGCWATTGAATTCCCAAAGCAAAAAAGGAATTTGTTGAATTACTTCTCTTGGTTAGATCACATATTTTCACATCTTACATCATACTGGAATTAGAAAAAAATATTTGCAATTGAGAAGGAATATTAAGTGAATTCCACRACATTTGTGAGGGAAGGAAAAAGATAGCTCTTGTAGAGCTATCTAAGCTAGTGCCAAGCAGGAAAGCATGAAGTCAAATCTGAGCCAAGAAGCTGCCAGTACTACCACAACCTTCCTTCCATTTTTTCCTGTAGACATTACACCATGTCTTTGGATACTATCTTACTACTCTCTTTGGAAAACAAGTCTATCAAGTGACAGCATAAGCAAAAGAGGACAGTTATTTTAAATGTGCATGGCATCTAGTTTTGGTGCCCACACATTTAAATAGACTCCACAGCATCCTTTGTGTGTGTTCCAGAAGCTCCATTTCCCAGCATGAATTAGAAAAGTCCCCCGAAGAAAATCTGCTTTCTGTTTTAAATACAACAATAATATCTATTTTCTCTTGAAGAGACAATCTTCCAATTGTTCTACCAAAACACTATTTTCTTCCTGACTCCTAATGTTATATTAGCACAAATTTTAAGACACTAGATCTTTGTTTCATTCAAACTAGAAACAAGAGATTGACAAGTGGAGCTCACCAGTGTGGTACCTGCTGAAATAAGTGCTTTGTGTGGTAAGGCACAGTGATGGGATCCAGGCTCTGGACATCCAGCAGCAGATTCCAGTTTGAAAGCTTCCCCTTAACMCCAGACTATCCATGTTTCCTTTCTTCCACAGCCACAAGGTGCTTCTTGCTTTAATGGCCTGACTGGACATAACCATGCAACCAGCCCACTCCTCCACCAGAACTCCACCCAGAGCAGCAGTTTTGGAGTGATGTGCATCAGGCCCAGCTACACAGGAAACCTTTGCTGGACAGTCACATCCCATCTTCCCTAGRCGGAAGATCCCAAAGACCTTATACAGCCACAGGACGACAACTGTAGTCAGATCCAGCTCCTGACAGAACATCAGTGGGTTCCAAAACAAGTAAAAAAAAAATCCACAGAGTTCACAACTGCCAGAAATCAGTCTCCAGAAAGAATTTTGCTTTAAGTAAGTTTTGATCTAAGAGATAAAACTAGAACAGTACCATTTGGTGCAGTAGGTGGTGACCAGACACCGAAGTATTTTGGCAGATATTCCCGCAGCTCCAGAAGAATGCTGTCACAACAGTCGGAGTCATAAACCTGAAATAAATTAGGGAGGGTTGGAGAGATCAYAATTTTAATACATTCATTTCTGCTGATGGGGGAGTGAGCAAGTAGCTGCATGGGACCTGGTAGCTGGCTGGGTTAAACCATGACCATTTCCAATTGTCCCATAATTATACTTTCTTACAGTCTTTGTTTCCACAAGTCCATGGTATTTGTTTTACATTTAAAAAGCATAYAAGATGAGGATGATAATTATCACAGTCCAACAAAAATGAGTGGCATCCTTTCTTTCAAATTTTAAAGTGGCAAAAATGCATCAACTCAAAGCATAATTTATGGCTTATTTTGAGTAAAATTCTGAACTGTATTTGTTAACTTCAAAGCCTAGTTATTGAAAAGGGTGTTCTCACATTTGCACTCAAGACTCTATAGGATTACTGTATCATATGTATCCAAATATTTTTAATTTATATCAGATCAAGTATTGAAGCTCAGACTGGACAGTATTTTGTCTTCTCCAAGACAACTCATGCTGAGCTACATGACACAATGAACAACTCAAATATATTTCTTTTAATTTGCTTTAATGCTTTAAACATTTTTTCAACTTCTGTAGGAAAAACAGTAGCAGTTTGGAAACAGCAGCTGGCTTGTATCCCTAAAGGAACAACTCTTTGCAGTTAAAATGAAGCCTTGGATACTATCTGCTATGGATTTGTATAACTGTTACCCATGTGAGGCATTGCTGAGAGGGTTTCAAAACCATTYCCTTATCCAGATTCCCCCATCCCAGCCAGTGATGKAGCTCCAAACATAARGGATTGCCTATAGCACAGTTCCACATGCTTTGTGGACTGGAATATCTTTATCCACTGCAGCRTAAGTTACAATGATTGTTATTGCGTTTAGGAGCCATCTCATCCCACCCCCTTTACAGCTCTCCCAGTTGTGCTGCCGTCAGAGTGGTGTCCTGTCTCTGAGCCCTACCGTGGATGAACACAAATACTCATGCATGCTGCAGAGTGACCAGGTTATGCTCAGGGTTCCGCTAGCACTGCGGTGCAGCCAGAGCCTGCGGCAAAGTTGGCAGCAAGGCAAAAAAAGTCAGGTTTTAACAGCTCAGCAGACTCAACTCAGACCATTACGTCAGGACACATTTAACCACAGTGGGGGATACCTGGACACAGCAGCTATAAAGGAGAGGTATCGCAAAATACATGCCTGTAGTGTTGCAATATTAACATAACTAGGGAGAAAAAAAAAATGGACCTGAAGTGCAGATGCTATTTCAGAGCATCAAGGCAAGCCTTGGCTATCCTCACTAGTGCCAGTAACTCAAGAGAGTGCCTCATGCAGCAGCAGTGTTAAAATTAGTTAATGTGAGTTTGTGCTAAATTCACTGCAAAAACCTCCAACTAAAACTAAACAAACTAAAACACCAGTGTGCTTCTAACACACAGGGACTGCTCCACAGCTAATGCAGGGCTCTCCTGGGCTTCCACCAGCTCCAGTTCTGACACCCTCACTGTTAGTGGGCAATGATCAAGAGCATGATATACCCATGCTGACTGGATACTAAGGTATTGAATTTGACCCATTCCTTTAACCACCTCATGCTATAGGCCCCATTTCAAAGATCCTAAGGGAAGGGGCTGAATCCTCAAAGCTCAAACTACACAAATATGTGCAGAATGACACTGAAGCACACCCAACACCACACCCTCTATCACTACTGTTGCTATCGTAAGCATAGAGAAATTGCTGGGTGTGTATCTTACAAGTCACAGTGTCACACCACAGGGCATTGAGCTCTCCACACRTCATGATTTGACAAGCTGGCATGACCACGAAGGATAACACATAATTGTATGTCTAAGTCCTGTTTCCCTCCATGTTAACATGAGGTATACTGATATATTGTGCTCCAAGACAAAAAGCCTCACTTGCCCCTGGGATCAGTGTATGCATAAAACATTGCTTCACTGAGCCTCAAGGGCTGCCAGTAGAAGACACWGCTTTTTCCAGCAGACTGCAAGGTAGCTTGATCTTACTCATTTAAGCAAGAAAAAAAAAAAAGCTAAGGGTGGGAGAGAAGAGAGGGAAAGATTAACAGCAGGCAGATGACGACTTGACTGCTCTCTTTGATAACAGTTCAGTACTCCCCACTGCACAGACAGCAGTTTCTGGGCCAGCACTCCAAGCACTGACTGCTGCCTTTACTTCAWGGTGTGTACAAGTAGTACAAACCCAATTTTTTTTCACTTTAGCACCTTACATCCAAGGCAAGGCACTGCACTGGCCCCAGCACAAATGCTCTTTTCCCAAGTAAGTTTGAGCAGATCTGAGAGGCAGAAACCATTCTGCCTTTACTGGGAACAAATGCATATATTTAGGTTAGCACCAAGAGGAGGAGCGAAGGAGACTGAAAGTGCAGCAGAAAAGGAGAAACCCTTAATCCAACTGAAAGAACAGGCAAACGTATTAACTCATTTACCTAATTTATTAGCACTTTTGCTTCTGAGAAAGTGAAATGTCAGGAGACTGCTTCTGGTTTTTTTTTTAAGAGAGACAGGACCCTTGACTTACTTTTTATCACCAACATTAGGTAACTAAACTTTGCAACTTAGCAAATAATTACAAATATGCTCCTGTGTATTTCAAATAGCAGGATACAACAAAGATACTCAGATAATTTATAATGGGGTGYAATAGCTCAAAGTCAAGACCAAATGGGGAAAAGAGCTCCAGAAGTAGTATCTTCCCAATAGTCTATTCCTCARTATCCTGATAAAAGGCATTTTAAATGGAGACAGAACTCCCAATAATGCATTTTTCAGTATCATTACTTTGACATAACAGAACTAACTGCATTACTTCTGTCTCTCAAGAAGTTATCTTGCTCCCAGAACCAGTAAGAAACTCCCCTCATAAGTCTGACACAACATATACAAAGCACTTATTTGGCCTTAATATAGACCACAATGTTAGCCTGCAACGTATTTGAACGTCAAACTAGAATAAGCACTCAATTAATAAAGATCAGAGGAAGTCAGTTGGTGTAGGCAAAGCAACAAAACCAGACATTTCAAGAATTATGCTCGTTCCTATGCARGACAGAACCACTTCTGCTCATCAGAATGGGACCTCATAAGCAGCACACATCACAAGTATTTCTTCTCACTTCATACAATCTAGTAGCAAGCCACAGAATACCAAATATAAATGTAAAMATGACAAAACCATCCCTAAAACTACACAGGGCATATACCCATGCACCTCATGCCCCAAAAGGTATAGCTACCAATATTGCTGGAARACTAATGAAAAATGCCAAGTTATCACCTCAGAAAACCTTAATAAAGAAACCATTAGATTTTTACTTACATCAGCAATATTCCAATTTTATTTCACGAAAGAGTGTTTTTTTTAATGTAAGAATGGAGGTCCATTTCTCCAGCAAACACTGACAAACAGAAGCAAATTTTGCATTAGCATATATAACATCTTTATCCAATAAATCAAGAAATGCAAAACAATTCCGTGTCAGCTCAGCCTGAGGAGTTACCCCTTCTACATATCACAGGCTAAATACTTCCAATATCACAGACATAAAATGTCTCCAGGAAAGCAAGTAAACAGGATGTTGGTATTTGGAGGGCTCACCACATGACCATTATAAATTACAGCCACTAATTCATAGCAGGAATATGCTCCARATTCTCTATYTTCCGTGGYTGCTCCRATAGTCTAATAGACATAATGAAGTCATAATTTCCAGTCATGTAGGACTTTTTAATTCTGAGGCAAATTTGCCATCCCTRATTTTTTAATCCAAAGTACACTCTGGGGTTTCTTGTACTAGATTCATCTGCTTTTAATGCAAACAGGAGTTGCTTGGGGCAATGGGAATGTTCTTTTCCTTATTTAAAACATGACATTTAGACTTTTTTCTAAAGGCTAGTTAAGACATAGATGACAGAGTGAGGGTAAAACAAATGTTGAAATTTCAACAGGAAACTAGTTCTGGTAATACAGACCTGTCCTCAAATGTCCTGATGAAAAAATACAACTTTGACAGAAWAGTAATCTTCTAAAGTACATTCAAGAGTTAGTTTAAAAGAACTTGTATTTTAAAACTACTTGAGTAGGAAACTTTAAATGTCAGAGTAGGCATATCAGTCCAAAACAACACCTTTCTTTGCTCCCAGAAGGCAGCAGCACTACAGCCTTCAGAGTTTCRGGATATCCTCCAGCTGCCAACGTTAGGCAGAGAATTCTGTGTCCAGTGTGGGATTTGAGATTTTTTTTTAGCAGCTAATGCAGCTAAATCATGYGCTTAAATTAGCAAACGTGATTTACAGGTGATAGTGCAACTTTAATTGCCTCTTCCATTGGGTATGTATTATATCATAAACCAATTACCTGAGCACAGACTGCGTTTCCCTTTGGACTCTTACATCAGCCACCTGCATCACGCAGGTGCAAGGGGCAAAAAATTGAGGTTGAAACAGCAGCTGTGATTTCAGAAATTCCTATCTGCTCGGCTATGCAACTCAGACAGCCCTGGCTTCTTTTCAAAGTGGTACTATCATGGCTTGACTTGTGTGTCTACAGAACTTGTTTCTACAAACATGGACTGGCATTGAGCCAGCTCTGCTTGTATTCAAAATCTCATACCAGAATAATCTCAGAAGTTAAATACTTGYTAATGTTGTTACACTAAATGCTTTCATACCAAATTGCTTAATTTACTATCTAATATGCAACCATATTAAGGACATAGCAATCATTTTCACTGAAAATACCTACAAAGAATGTTTAAAACAAATGAGGATTTATTCCCACAATCTGATCACATAAATGGATTTTGAAGTAAAGATGGCACACATTTTTGACAAAGTCATAAGTCTTTCAGTAGTCAGGAAAAAAACCCCACATTATAGTAAGGGGTTGGCCATCTCACCTTCCAAAAAATGAAGGCTGTTAAAATAAGCCTCAAAAATATCCCAAAGAGACACTTATTTGGTCATGTT